TCCCCACCCCCCTCACGACAGCTTAAAGGGCAGAACTACTGCTTCGGGGTGGCCTCCCAAGGGTGACCCCAATGTCATGTTTTTAAAAAATGACCACCCCTCAGTCTGTCTGAGGGCTTTTCATAGGAGAAATCTCATGGGAGGTGAGGTGGCAGTGGAGGTGTGGCCTGCAGTAGTTAAAACCAACATTCCCAGACAAACTATTACCAAGAAGGTTGGATTTGGCTTTTTTGAGGTCATCCTCCACATGTAAGATAAGGAACAGGAGTCCCAGTTTAGCTAATTAAGCTCAGTGGGGCACAGGATGCAGCCCAGGAGTGTGGGCCACAGCTTCTGAGTGGCCACAGGACAATAGGCTTCTCAACCGTTGGTCACAAACTCAGGTCATTTGGCCTGACACCCAGCAAAGGGCTGGAGTGGTAGGAAACCTTCAATTAGATCAACCCCACTGGATGCCCCCCTGCTGGAAGGCAATGGTTGAAGATAACTGAATGGATAAAGAAGATGTGGTGTATATACATAATGGAATATTAGCCATAAAAAGAATGAAATAATGCCATTTGCAGCAACGTGGATAGACCTAGAGATGATCACGCTAAGTAATTCAAAATGAGAAAGACAAATACCATATGATATCACTTATATGCGGAATCAAGAAAATGATACAAATAAACTTATTTACAAAACAGAAATAGACTCACAGACATAGAAAACAAACTTATAAGTTACCAAAGGGGAAAGGCGGGGAGGGATAAATTAGGAATTTGGGATTAACAGGTACACACTACTATATATAAAATAAACAAGGACCTACTGTAGAGCACAGGGAACTAAATTCAATATCTTGTAATAATCTACAATGGAAAAGAATCTGAATGAGAATCTATACCTATCTATCTGAATCACTTTGCTGTATACCTGAAACTAACACAACATTGTAAATCAACTATATGTCAGTTAAAAAAAAAAAAGAGGGTGACCCTCTCCTGGACCCTTTTTCTCTTCTCAGTCTCCACTAACTGAAGTGCTGGCCCTGACCCTAAACTCAGCCTCCTTCCCCAGTTCTACTGCATCTGACACCCAGGACGCAGCACGGGGCTGGGGCGGGTTGGGTCAGGGGGCCTGGCCCTGTCAGAATAGCTGACCCTGGGCGAGAACCCCCTGTCTTTGGCCCAGGCTCTTCCTACAGATGGGAGAGGGTCACTGGTTTCCATGGAAACCAGGGTGGGTGTTTGTGGAAGAGGCTGACCCCATCAGGCTGCAGGTCAGAAGGATCACTCTGGCTGACGTGGAGAGAAAGGCCGGGGGTGGGTGGCCAGGGAGGGGGCCGTGCAGTGAAATGAGAGGAGGGGGTGGCATTAGGGACATTGTGGGCAGGACTTGGGGGGATAGGTGTATGAGAAGGTAGAGAAGGAGGGGTCTCCAGACCCTGGTTGTGATCAGCGAGACCAGAGGAAACAACAGGCGACAGAAAGGCTGAAGAGCGCGGCTGACGCTCAGGAAGAAGCTGCCAGCTCACGAGGCAGTGCTGGTGGAGCGGGGGACGCAGCTGCCCATGACACCTGCAGGCCACTCCCCTCCAGGGCACAGCGGGTAGAAGGGAGGATGGCGGGAGCAAGGCCCACATTGGGAATGCGGATGGGCCGCCAGCAGGAGGTAGAGGCTCCAGTTCATAAAACTCCATGAGGCCCCATCAGCCTCCAGGAGGGGAACTGGCCCCCTCACCACCTCCGACCACGTGCCCAGGACAGCTCTTTGCTCTGGGGGTGCCTGTGGCCCCGGGAGAAGACCAGTCCAGAGCCATGCAGTGCTGCTGCTCCCTCTTCCAGATGAGGTCACGTGAGGATTATGTAGGGAGCACATTCATTTGTGGCTGCTCATGACCCCCTCTCAGTTCTGGGGTCCAGGAGCTGGAAGACCCAAGTGAGGGCTGGGGAGGACAGAGGTGCTCCTGTCATCTCTGCAAGAAGAGCTGGCCTGGCTGAGGGTGGCAGCACAGGGGGCAGGGATTGAAAGGTGTAGGGAGAGCCTTTCAAGCTGGTGCTCTGGACCCCAGAGGGCAGAGACCTCCCAGCAAGCAGGAGCCGAGGAAGGTGAGTGACAGAGGAAGATGCCCACCAGGGCAGATGGGGGCGGGGGGTGGGACGTGGGAGGGTCTCCAGCACACGGCCCCACCGGCATCCTGGCCACTGGGAGAGCACTGGCCTGTGGTGCAGGAGGGATGGTCCATCTCAAGACACCCCACTCCACACTCCCCAGGCTGGGTTTCTGACTGGGTTTCCTGGTTATCAGATACTGAAGAGGGGGTTCCCCCACAAGAGGGGGGTTGCCTTTCCCCGCCCCCTGTAAGGTGGGTGTCAGTCGATGGCAAATACATCCAGACATGTGTGATGCTGGCGAGCATCCGCTTGGCCCCAAGAGCAGAGCGACTCTGAGCAGAGAGGCCATTTGGTTTCCACCTCGGCCCGTGGTGACTGAACCCACTGTGGCCTCTAAGAAGTCCCGGCAGCAGCAGGCTGGGGCTCCAGCATCACATCTGAACTGTTCCTCCCCATGGCTGCCGGTAGATCTGACACTAAACCACTGCACCTGTGGTAAACCACTGGCCTCCGGTTCCCACCTGCAACAGGAGTGGCCAGAGTGACCATCTTCTGGAGCCTCTGCCTCCGCCACGGGAGGAGTCAGGGGAGAAAGGGGAAAGTTGAGGGGACCATCCTGGGACAGACAGGTGATGGGGAGAGGGGCACAAGATCAGGGTCCCCACCTCTCTTTCACATGACTGTGTGGGTTCCCCCAGGGAGGGTGGGCCTGACGTCTAGCTCTTCGCTGCATCGCATATTATTCTAAAAAGTAAAGCACATGTAGTGTTCTAAGTTATGCTGAACAAACTTCGGGATTAAGGAGAACAGAAAATCAAAGGAATATTTCACAATACTGAGAGTGTAATAATCACCTACACCTTCAGTTTTCCACACAGGTTTGCACTCCTTAGTCTTCCAAGCCCCACGGGGATGTGAGGTAACATCATTCCTCCACATCACAGCCAAGGACACTGAAGCGAGAGGATGTGGCTTCAAGAGGGGCTCAGGACAGAGCCTGGCACTGATGAAGACCAGGAGGAGCAGGTGTGCCCAATGGCAGACCTCTAGTCTACCCAGAAGTGATGCTCTACACATGGATAATAACTCATAGAGACGGCGGTGGGGGGGAGATGAGCATGACCTTTTTGGGTTAAATGAGTTAATATATATTAAAATATTAAGATGAAGATAATTTATGCCTTACTCTAAACAATAATGTTAATAATAGAACTTATATGAGAAGAATTACAGAACGAATCAGAAAACAAAATCCAACAATTTGCTGTTTATAAGTTACAGATATATAGCAAAATACGTACACAAATTTTAAAAATAAAATGCCGAGCTAAATAAACTCTCATGCAAATGCAAATTCAAAAAAAGCAAGGGGCTTCCATTATGATATTTGGAAAAGAGAAGTTGAAGCTAGAAGCATTAAAAGAGGCAAAGAGGGCACTAAAAGGCACAGTTTTTCGATATGTCACTATTAAACACATATGCCCCAAACATGGTAATTACTTGATCATTTGTACCCTGCCTATTTCTTAAGAAGATAACTGCACGACTCACAAAGCAACAACATACATAAAAAAGAAACAGAAATTAAAGCAAAATAGAAATACGTAAAGAAAAGAACACACAAAATCAGACTGTGATTTGACTAGGTAAATGAGTGTTCTTACCTACTTTGGGGTCACAGAGCCCTTCCAAAATGTAGTGAGTGCTACAGAACCCCCTCCCAGAATAATTTATGCATGTACATATCCACACAGCTTTGTTCAATGCCCGGCATCCATGACCTCTGAAACCCCTGCATGCTCATGGACTCCCAGGCAGTCCTTGGACCCCAGGTTAAGAACTCTGAAGTAAAGTGAGAGAGAGTATGGATTTGAATAAAGTAACATAAAAACTGATTTAACAAATAGAACTGATGGAGTAAAAACACGTTTCTTGAGAGTACACAAATGTCTTATAAAAACGGATAATATATTCAGGCCCAGAGAAGTTCTACGGACACTTAGAAATGCTGACACCACTACGTACCATAAGAAGTAAAAGCCATAACCTCAGCAGTCATCACTGGGAAACACTAAATAATAACAATAACAATAATAATAGTTGGGCCAAAGGGAAAGTCCTAAGGACAACAGCAAAAGACAACACATGTCAACATTACGGAGGGCAGAAGAAGCTCTAACTGTAAGAAAAAAATCATAGGCTAAAGTACCCCCACTTACTAGAAATATTAAAAATGATTAACTGTATCTAAATAATCTTAAGAAATGTAAAGTATTAAGTCAAAAAAAAAAGAAAAGAGCAGGATACATGTACTTTGACAAACAATTCAATTAGTAAACAGAACCAAGAACTGGAGCTTTGCAACACTCAACAACTAAAAGAAGGAAAAAATGTAAGACAATAAAACAAAAACAAACAACTAAACTCAAGGATGATTAAAATATTACCAAGATGATCTCTTATAACATCACACTGTTTGAGAACCTAAATAAATGAAAAGATTTAAAAATACAGGGCTTCCCTGGTGGCGCAATGGTTGAGTGTCTGCCTGCCGATGCAGGGGACGCGGGTTCGTGCCCCGGTCCAGGAAGATCCCACATGTCGCGGAGCGGCTGGGCCCGTGAGCCATGGCCGCTGAGCCTGCGTGTCTGGAGCCTGTGCTCCGCAACGGGAGAGGCCACAACAGTGAGAGGCCCGTGTACCACAAAAAATAAAAATTAAAAAAATAAAAAAATAAAAATACATAAGAAATCAGTGAAAGAATTTGAACTGAAAGAACAAGGTTCTGCTCACACTTCCTACAAAGAAAGTACCTGCCTGGTCTGACCATGGTTTTGTGAGAGTCTGTCAACCCTTCAGAAAGGGGGTCTTAATCTCCATGTTACATAGTCAAAAGGAAGAAAGGAGAATGTGGAGGAGGAAGAGAAAAAGTGCATATTCAAAAATGTGAGAACAGCATAAATGAGCTGAGAAGCTGGGCGTGAGTGGGGTGCATCTGGGCTTGGTGGGAACACCGAGACGCTTGCTCGCGCGGGTAACCCAGGCTGGCTAAAATGGGGGTTTACGTGCAGAACACCCCTGAAGGTTGGTTTTAAGGAGAGTGGTGACATGTGCAAAGTGATGCCTGAAAAAAAAAAATTTGGCTGGTGCACAGTGTGCAGCGACAGACATCAAAGGTAGGAAGCAGACAACTGGCCAAGGCTGAGGCCGAATGCGGGGACAGCAGGGGGTGAGGAGGTAGATCTTGGGGGGGGTAATGTCCCACCTGCACTGAGCAGGGGTGTCAGTACTCTCACTGGTGACCGAAGACCATCCGTGCAGGCTGCCTGCAGACAGTGTCTGGCACTGCCCAGTCGGGCTGGTCCACCTGCTCATGCAGAGGCTCTGCTGGGGCCTGGAGAGCTGGTTCAATGCTCCACAGACTCACAGAGCAGAGAGGAGCTGGACAGAGCCGATCTTCCCAGCCCAACAGACCTGTCGTTTTAACATCTCTGGCCTACCAAGTTCCACTTAAGAAGTAACCACTATGGCTTTCCCATTTTCATTCATCTAAACTATACACAGCTGCCCAGCTGAGCTTCTCATAAGCTGAAATAACTAGTGTGACCATGATGGGTTCGTGGGATTTCAGCCAGAGACTCAGAAAGCTTCAAAATAGCTCTGACTGCGTCCTCCCCACACTAGCTCTGAGGAGCCCGGGGAGCCAGAACTAAAGATCCTCGTGGACACACAAAGGCCTGGGACAAACGCTTACCAACCAGCCAGACACGGCACTGCCTGAGCCCATCCCTGGGGTGGTGGGCAGAGGTCTGAGACAGGATGGCCACCTTCAAGCTCTGCTCTGGACGATGCCATCTGGGAGATGCTGGGGCTGCCTGGGAGCCAGCATGGGCTCACAGCCTGCTATGCAGGGGAACCTTCTAATCACCTGGGGAGCTTTAAAAACATGCCACTGTCGGAGCCCCACCTCTGGGGATGCCCAACTGAACTGGTCAGGGCAGGACGCAGACAATGGTCCTCGTTAAACAACCCCCAGTGGGGAGGACAGAGAGAAGGACAGGACGCAGACACACTGCCGCTGCGGGGACAGCGTGCAGGAAGTGTCCTGTCCAGGTCGCCGCACCCAGGACACAAGCTGGAGGGAGGGAGGGAGGGAAAGCCTGGCTGAAAGGGGGGGCCCTGCCATGTCGGGAACCAGACAGGGATGCACCTCCCCTGCAGGTGGGGCAGCGGTCACTGTGGGTCTCCAGCCTCAATCGCCAGCCGACAAAGCACGTTCATGCATGGTCCCACTCTGAACAGGAGCCTTGCACCAGCCCTTAGGGGAATGTGGCCAGTCCCAATATGCCCACCTCACGGAGGGGTCATGAGGGAGGGGCCATAACTGGAACTTGAACCCAGACCTGACCGAATCACCTTCTATCCCCTTGCACTGGAGGGTGGAGGGGAGGCTGCAAAGCACCGACCAGAGACGGGCCCCGATGATGTCCAAGGCATGCTGTGGTTGGGGCCCTAGGTCTGGTGGAGGGTTACCCCCAGGTGGGCAGTGAGCCTTTGCCCGGGCTGGGCCAGAGCCAGGCTGCACCGTCTGCCGGCCTCCAGGACCACGCCTCCACCTCCTGGAAGAGCTGCCAGCCAGAACCGCCCTCAGCTAACCCACGTCGAGGGCTGAGAGAGCACAAGGGGGCCTCACCCCCACACCCAGGATGAGTCCTCCAGACCCTCCCTCTGCTCTGTCACCTGAGCTGGCCGTCCCCACCAGTGCCCGAGGTGGGCTGCTGACGCGTCTACTTTGGATCCATTTTCCTTCAGTTGATTGGACCGCGAACATGGTTACTTCTTCTAAAAGTGCCTGATGTTAGAGCTCATCTGACATTTTCATGGGTTTAACTCCACTTTCTCCCTCTGACGTTTATTCTTCTTCTGGATTCTGGAAAAAGCGAATAGAGGGCAAAACTAAACCCCATTGGGTCACAGGTGAGCACGAGACAACTGAGAGCCAGCTGTGCCCTGGCGCCCCGGCCCTTGGCCTCCCTCCCCACCCTACCCAGTCCCCCTGCTGGGCCAGGGCCGCAGACAGGGGGCCGGACCCTGCCACCAGGGTGGGCGGGCATTTCCAGGAGGCACTGGTCTGGGGAGGCGGGCAGGCCTCACAGATGAGCGGGGGGCCAGGCTCCAGCTGGCAGAGGCGCGGGCCGCGGGGCCAGCCCCTCCTCTAGAGCTTGTCCCCCGCATGGACCTTCTGGTGGCGGATGAGGTGCGAGCTGCCCCGGAAGGCCTTGCCGCAGCGGTTGCACTCGTAGGGCCTCTCCCGCGTGTGGGTCTTGTAGTGCTCGATGAGGGCCGAGCGGTGCCGGAAGGCCTTGCCGCACTCATTACACACGTAGGGCTTCCGGCCTGTGTGGATGCGCTGGTGCTGGATGAGGGCCGAGCTGTGGCAGAAGGCCTTGCCGCACTGGCCACACTCGTAGGGCTTTTCGCCGGTGTGGATGCGCTGGTGCTCGATGAGCGAGGAGCTCTGGCTGAAGGCCTTGCCGCACTTGTGGCACTTGTAAGGCTTCTCGCCCGTGTGCGTCTTGCGGTGCTCGATGAGGTTGGAGCTCTGGCTGAAGGCCTTCCCGCACTCCTCGCATGCATACGGCTTCTTGCCTGTGTGGATCCTCTGGTGCCGGATGAGGTGGGACCGGTGGCAGAAGGCCTTCCCACAGAGCTCGCACTCGTGCGGTTTCTTCAGCGTGTGGATCTTCCGGTGCTGGCTCAGGCCCGAACTCTGGTTGAAGGATTTCCCACACTCCTTACATTGATAGGGCTTCTCCCCGGTGTGGATGCGCTCGTGCTTCCGGAGGCTCGAGCTCCGACTGAAGTCCTTGCCGCACTCCCTGCACGCGTACGGCCTCTTCCCGGTGTGGGTCTTCTGGTGTTGCGCGAGTGCAGAGCTCTGGCGGAAGGCCTTGCCGCACTCCCTGCACTCGTAGGGCTTCTCCCCCGTGTGGATGGCCTGGTGCCGCAGCAGGTGCGAGCTCTGGCTGAAGGCCTTGCCACACTCACAGCACTCGTAGGGCTTCTCCCCCGTGTGGATCACCAGGTGCCTGAGCAGGTGTGAGCTCTGGCTGAAGGCCTTGCCGCACTCGCGACACGCGTAGGGCTTGGCTGGCTGTGCAGTCCTGTGAGGCCCCTCGGGTCCCGAGTCCCCCCTGCCCGCCGTCTCCCCATCGGGCTTACCAGACGCTTCCTCGCTGTGGGTTATCTGGCACATACTCAGGTCTGATTTCTGGAGGAAGGTTGGGCTGGACGGCTCATCGTCCTGGGGTCTGTCTCCTGGGGGGATGCTCTGATGCTGGACAGGGCTTGAGCACAGACTGATATTCCCCTCATAATCGTCCTGCTCCCCCAGAGGGATCTCCTTGTAGATGACAGCCATCTGTGCTAAACCCCTTTCCTGAAGAAAAGGGCCCCCCGGGTCCTCCTCCGGGAAAAGGTTTGTCTGCATCTCCAACCCATCCTCAAACACGAAGGCCTCACCCAGCTTGGCTGCTGGGGGAATCTCCATTGTGTGTCCGGGCTCACCCCTAGTGACTGTTTCTCTTTGGGACACACTTACTGCTCTCAGATTCTGAAAAGAAAACAAGAGACACTGTCAAGTCAGCAAGTCAAGCACCTAGTAGGTGCCAGAGTCTAAGGCAGATATAACCAAAGACACAATCTTGCCCTTGAGATGGTCCTTACTGAGTAAGAGACAAGTCTGACTTACCAGAAACAACTGCAAGGAAGACAGACAGACAGACAATGACACACTGTGGTGTCCAGACTCTAAAGGCTCAGGGTTTCCAGAAAGGTGGGCAAGGACAGGAAGTGGAGCCATTCTGAAAAAGGGGCAAGACTCCAGCTACCAGAGGAGGTTGGGGCTGGGGTCTTGTTGGGAAAGAGAGAGCACACACCCGCCTCCTACCATCGGTCGGCTGCAGGCCTCCAGCCCAGAGCCCCAGCCGGAGCCCTGGGAGTCAGCCCTTCTCATTCCCGCCGGCACACCCCGTCCTGTCCACTTCCCGTTTTTACTGAAGGGGTCTCTCCCTCTCTCCTCGCTGCCACTGGGCAGCTCAGGCCTCCGTGTGACTCGCCTCCCCGCTGGCTGCCTACCTCCAGCTTCCCCCCTCCCCCCAGCCCGTTCTCTACGTGGAGGCCAAGGTCAAATGCCCAAAACACAGTCCTGATCGTGGCATCCCCCTTCTCAGGAGCTTGCAGCAGCCCAAGTCCTCCACACCCGGCCATGTGGCCCTGTCGCCTGCTTCTCCTTCCACACACCCCCAAACTTCCAGCTCCACCACTCACACATGCTGCTGTTTCCTCCTCCTGACTGGTCCCCACTCTTCTCACATGGCCACTTGCTCATCCTTCCAGACTCAGTTCAAATGTCCCCTCTTCCCTGCACCCTCAGACTCTGACAATCTTGGGCACGTGGCCTTGGTGACCGTGGAGCACGGGGCATATGTCCATCACAGCACTCACCACCTGGAAGGCAAATGTCATGGCAGGACTTTCCCCACCACCACCTGCGAGCTCCCCAAGGGCAAATCCGGGGCTCCTCCATATTGGAATCCCCAGCTCCCAGCACAGCCACTCAATCATTACACACAATTTATTGAATAAATAAATGATTGAATGGAGGAAAAGTTATTTGTGTTTGTGTTAGAACTGCTTACCACACTTTTATTTTATTTTGCCGAAAGTACTCTTTATTCAAATAAGTCAATTATCTGGGAGATATGAATAAATGAAACATACAAAAGCAGAGCTGCTCCGGTCGAAGGGGGTATTTTCAGAGGGACAAGGAAGGAGGCTAGAACACCCCACTCAGCCCCCCAACCCACTGTGGGGGCCCAGAGGGAGCCCCGCAGGACCCCATCCACAAACTGCTATGCAACCTCCAGGGAAACTCTTCAGGTACCATAATGATGACAACTCGAGTTTACTGAGCAACTACTGTGTGCAAGGCACAGCTAGACCTTTTACAAGCATATCTCATGTACTCCTCAGGACTCCATACAAAGGTACTATCATCCTTACACTGAAGTCAGAGAGGAACTGCCTCAAAAAGACATACTAAATTAATCAGAATAGTCATGATGGAAATCATTCCTATTTGGAATATTTTTTAAATGAATTTTCAGCCAGTAGAAAGGCCAGGTGTGAAAAAAAGCACAGAACTGCAATATCCTCAAGAAGCCTGTGTCAGACTGCCCTGGTGGTGCAGTGGTTGAGAATCCACCTGCCAATGCAGGGGTCGTAGGTTCAAGCCCTGGTCCGGGAAGATCCCACATGCAGCAGAGCAACTAAGCCCGTGTGCCACAACTACTGAAGCCCCCACGCCACAACTACTGAAGCGCTCGTGCCTAGAGCCCGTGCTCCGCAACAAAAGGAGCCACCGCAATGAGAGGCCAGTGCACCTCAACGAAGAGTAGCCCCCACTCGCGGCAACTAGAGAAAGCCCGTGCACAGCAACAAAGACCCAATGCAGCCAAAAATAAATAAATAAATAAATAATTTTTTTTTAAAAAAAGCCTGTGATCACTCCCACTCCTCTTCACAGCCACGGTCTCCACTCCCCCCCGCCTCACCCGACCTCCTCAAACCTCACGTCCCATTTTCACCCTGGTCCACCCCTTCCCCATCTAGCTTAGACTACAGTGGGTCTAACTATGGGCATCACTTCAACCAGCTCGCTGACCAGCATCACATTCCTCACCTCCCTGCCCTGCCACTAACTACCCACCTCCTCTGCCAGCTCCTCCTAAGATGCTGAATGTTGCCAAGGAAAATCATACGACTGTGTCTGGCACGGAGACAAACTTCAAGTTTCCAATTTCAGCTGGGACTTCAGCTCCAGCATCTAATGACCTCCTTACAGCCAAGCCCTCTCTTCTGGATCCTCACTTCCTCCCCCCTCTGGAAGGCCTCTCCAAGACATCCCTCTCAAAACCCTTCATTTCAGAGACTGCAAACTGGCACTCTGGGGATCCTGCCACAGACACGTTGTGTTTGACTCTCAAAGAGTCAGGCTTTTCCTTTTTGTTTGACTTAGCTGCCAATATTTAAAACTCAGTAGGTTTTCTCATGAAAAACTGGACGATGTGACAATACGAGCCCACCCTTCACTAACCCACCTTGCTGGCCAACCTACCCCACTCCCACGCCCCACTTCATCCCCTTGGTTTCTTTTCCCCCCCTAATTTTCATGCCCTCTGACCCCTCTTTCTCTGTATCTGGATATTGTGCCTCCACCCACCTGCTAAATCCTGGTGTTTCCGAGGTTCCCTCCTCGGGGGTTTTCCATTCCCACTATGTACCAGCTACACGCTGAAGTCTCCACTGTGTTGAAAAAGTTAGCGATACTTTATCTGTGACCAACGATGTTTTAAATATTTTGGCACCGAAAATCCAAAGGTCTGGAACCCCACACTTCCCACCTCTCTCTGGCCTTCCCCGGCTCCTCCTGCCTCCGTCACTCCATCCTCCTGGGACCCCCCCCAGGGCCTGGGCACCCGGCCGACCCTCGGGCCAGTCAGGGCTTCCTGGCTGGAGGCCAGCGAGCGGCCGCGGACCCGCACCTGCTTCCACGGGCGGGGGCCGCCCACACCTGCGCCACCGGAGGGAGAGGTGGCCACACTGGCTGCTGCGGAGCCACTCACCTAGGCCGGGGCGGGGCCGCTCACCTGAGCGGGGGCGGGGCCGCGGGCGAGCAGGGCGGGGCCGCACCTGAGCCGCTCCTGCCCGCGGCCGTGGCCTCGCTCGGCTGCGGCTGCTGACGCGAAGCCCGAGGCGGCCCGAGAGCCCGAGCCCCGCCCCCTCCCCGGCACTTCCGGGACCGCTCTAGGCTGCGCGGAGGCCAGTGTCTCGCTGGTCCCGCCGCGCAGTATGGGTCTGCGCCTGGATTCCGGGATCCGGGTCGCAGGACTGGGGTCGGGAGGGGCCGTCCAGTCGACTCAGGGCTCCGGGCCGTCCCCGAGCGCGTCCCGGCTGGGCGGGCGTTGGCGGGAGCGCAGAGGAGGAAACTGAGGCCGGGAGGGGCGGCCGGCTCCTGGGCACCTGTCCTGGGGGTGGGGCCGGCCAGAGGCCTTGAGGCGGCTGTGTCCCCGGGAGAAGGGCAGGTGCGCTCAGGGCTGCGGAGCCCGTTACCCCGCGCAGGCCCGGGGTCCTGCTGCGATTCCCCCTCCCTTCCTGGGGAGCTCTGGTCCTGCTTGCTCACCTCGTCCCCGCAGAGACAAATGAGGAGAGCCCGGAGAGGGCCCAGGAGATGGCTGGGAGCCTAGGCGGGACCCTCTGTGGACCCCACCTCTGCATCTGAGGGATGGCCTCCGTTCAGGTGGCGCCTCTTAGGGGAACCGGGAGGGAAGCGGGGTGTGTTCTTCAGCCCCCGACCCCCCTCCCAGAGCTCACTTCTGCTTCTGGTGGCAAGACTTGCCCCTCTACCCAAGGATGGCTGCTGCCCATTCTCCCCCTGCCATCTGCCCACCTGTCTTCAGCACCTTCCGTCCTGGCCCTCAGGTGCCTCCTAGCCCCATCCAGGAGTAGGCAGGGGCTCCTAGGGACCCAGTCCACTGACCCTGTGTGTGTTGGACCACAACCAGCCATGCAGAGCTGGGACCAGCAAGGGCTGGTTATTTTTTCTCTCACTCCAGTTCCTCCAGTCACAGGAAGGCAAGAGCCACCATTCTGAGCCCCCTGGGGGCTGGTAGGGAGGTGGGGCCCCACCCAAGGGTCTCAGGTGCTTCCCCTTCTGCAAAAATCCCCAGAATCCCTACCCCCACACTCCCACACCCAGACCAACCACAGTCACTTTTTCTTTTTTGTTTTTATTTTTTTTATTGAGCTTTCTTTTCTTTTTTTTAACATCTTTATTGGGGTATAATTGCTTTACAATGGTGTGTTAGTTTCTGCTTTATAACAAAGTGAATCAGTTATACATATACATATGTTCCCATATCTCTTCCCTCTTGCGTCTCACAGTCACTTTTTCAGCCAGGATCTCATGGCCCTCCGAATAGTTATTGTTGACATGTTGATTATTAACCCATTTTACAAAGGAGGAAAATCAAGGCTCAGAGAAAGGGAGGGTCCCAAGGTCAGGAGCATAAGTGGGAAGCAGACAGAAGGCACTCATCCCACACCCCACCCCTAGGGTATGTAGCCCACGGAGCAGTAATAATCTGCAGCGTCTTCAGGCTGCACGGGGCTGATGGTCAGGATGCAGGCATTATGGGCTGCATCCGTGACTGCCGAGAAGCGGTCAGGGATGTCAGGGGGGCGGTGGTTGTCCTCCTCTGAGCGGTAGTGGAGGAGAAAGCGGGGGGCACTGCCTGCCCGCTGCTGATACCAAGACACGCCGTAGTCCCCGACGGTGGCATGGCGGGGGCTGAGCATGCAGGAGAGTTGGGCCACTTGGCCTGGGAAGACTAGCAGTGTGTCCGGCTGGGTGAGGGTTGGCTGGGAGGCTGAGAGAGACAGACACACTCAGGTCTTGCCTGGGCCCCTTCCTTCCTGCCCCTGCCCCACAAAGTCTTGGTCAGACTCCCAGGAGAATCCTCTCCCAAAAGCTCACAGCCCAGTGCCATGGGATCGTCACTGGGTAGGGCACAGAGCTGGCGACCCCTAAGCCCCCATTAGTGTCATGTTCCCAAGGAGCCATGTTCAGCTAAGGATCTAGAGTTCAGAGGGTGTGCTGGTGGTCTCTGGGCTGCCCACCCTCATGCCTTGCCCTGCAGACCCCTATCACTTTGGTCACACTGGCTTCTCCAAACCCTGGCTACAGACTGATGACCCCCAAGAAGCCTCCGGGGCTGTTACTACCCATTGGCTCAGCCTCCGGCCACTGGCTGCTGAAGACCTTCTCAGAGTTAGCTTGTCCCTGAGGCCCTGTGGGGTAGGAACCAGCCCACACCAGCTTCCCCTCTGAAAAACTCAAAAGGTGATGAGTCTCTGAGACCCCCAAGAGTCAGAGTCCAAAGGGACCCTAGCAATCTGGTCATTCACAAATGGGGAAACTGAGGCCCACACAGAGAAGTGACTTGCCTCAAGTCTGGGGCAGGGCCACCTGTGGCCAGTTCTCCTCTCCACCTCAAGGACCCTTCCAAAACCTTCCCCACTGACCACATGGATTTGCTTCCTTACAGGGGGCTTCCAGAGCCAGTGTGCTGTCTCCCACTCCACCCCTGGGTGAGCAAGGCCCAGGGAGGGCTCACCTGCTAGGAGGACCCCAGTCAGAAGGAGGGCCAGATGCTGACAGGCCATGGCCAGAGGCAGGGAGGCAGGTGGGAGTCGCTTGTTGGGCTTGCACTGGGTGTGCTCCAGGTGCTTCAGGGCACACTGGGGAGGCTGCTGGACCATGACAGGGCATGCAAATCAGCCCACTGACACGGTGGGAGGGTGGTGCTGGGGCCCAGCAGCCAGACCTTATCTTCCCAAACGTCAGCATCCCGGCCCCACAGGGCCTTCTTGAGAACAGAAGCCCAGAAATCCACATGTGCAGTTAGAGCAGGTGGCTGCTCTTCACTGAGGTATAACTCATACGGTCAAGTGCACAAATCTTACATGTATGGCTCAATGATTATATATATATATCCCTGCAGCCTCTACCCAGACCAAGATTTAGAACATTTCCATCACCCCAGAAGGCTCCCTCATTCGCCTCCCCTGCCAGTAACGCCCTCTTAGCCCCAACAGTAACCAAGTGCGACTCTGTGGTTGATCAGTTTTGCTGTAGAACGTCAGCTATAAATGGAGTGATAGTGTGTCCTCTTTTGTTTCTGCTTCTTTTGTTAAACATTATGAGTCATCCGTGTGTGCAGCAATGTTTAATTCGTTGTCACAGCTGTGTGTAAGCCACTGTGTGGATAGCCACAGTTAGTTTATCCATCTCCTGTTACTAGCCATTCGGGTGCTTTCATCTTTGGCTATTTCAAGGAGAACTGCTGCGAGCATTCCTGCCTGTGTCGTTGGTGCACCTGAGCTCTGGTTTCTGCTGGGCAGACACCCAGGACAGGGAACGTTTCCGTTTAGTGTTGTGTTTTTTTTTGGCCGCATCGCACCACGCAGCATGCGGGATCTTAGTTCCCCAACCAGGGATCGAACCCGTGCTCCCTGCAGTGGAAGCGCAGAGTCCTAACCACTGGACCGCCAGGGAAGTCCCCTTTCTGTTTAGTTTTAGTAGATACCGCCAGGGTTCCCGACATGGTTGTGCCTATCTGCACTCCTGTTGTGGGCAAGAGAGTTTGCCAAACCGAGGGGAGCTGACTTTGGTTGGGATTCAACCCGCGTTGGGATTCAAACCTGAATCCCAGATCCTCCTCCTCTTGACTGCACAACTTCAGCCAAGTTCCCCTCTCTGTGCCTCAGTTTCCTCATCTGGAAACAAAAGACGAGCATTGTGCCAGCCCAAGTGTTGTGAAGATGCAAAGATAGGACTTTGTGGGAGTTCCTTGGTTGCCTAGTGGTTAGGATTCTGGGCTTTCATTGCGTGGCCTGGGTTCAACCCCTGGTAAGGGAACTGAGATCCCACGAGCTGCATGTTGCAGCCAAAAAAAAAAAAAAAAGAAAAACAAAAACAAAAACATAGATAGGACTTTGTGTGTATTAATCATGCCTTTTATATTCTCTATCCTGATGCTTTGACATCTGGGGCCTTGCTGACCTTGGAGGGACTGGCCCTCCCAGGGTCAGCCAGTTCCTAGAGACAGTAACACACTTTTCAAACGCAAACCAACCATTCCTGAGTCCACACTCCCCTGACCACCTCCCCTACGGGGCTCTCTCATTGGGCCACTGCCCTCCTGCCCTGTCACCCAGGGCAAGTACCAGACAACCAGGGACGGTTCCTGTGCCCCAGAGCATGAAGTTATTCCAAACAGCCAACCCTGAGCCTGCTCACCCCACCTCACGGTTCCTTCCCTCAGAAACCACAATAGAGGCTCCCGCCCAGAGTTCCCCCTCTCTCTCTGCCTCCTGACCAGCCCTGGTGCTTTCCCATGTGGCCTCCCGCACCATGGGGTGTCATGCCTCCTCCACTTGGGAACTGTAACAAACCAGCTTCTCAATGGCAATCATCTCCTGATCTGCTGGCCTTACCAAATACCTAAAAAATAATAATACAAGTTAAAGCGGTGTGCTCTCGTTACTTTGTAGCCTTGAGAGCTCGCTTGGGGAAGGTTACAAAGCTCCCACTGTGGGTCCCACTCCAGTCCTAACACCTCCTTAGAGCACCTCCATGACACTCAAGACAAAAGATCCCTCCTCAGTGGCACTAAAGACAAACCCCTCGGAAAACAGAGGGGTGGTCATTGGAGCTGAGGGTCCAGGCGGGGAGTTCCATTCCTTCCAGAATCTGGCTGCAGCCACTCCTGGGCTGTGTTCTGCAGGACACGGGTCCCCAGATTTTGGAAGAAAGTGCCCTGCCTGTAAGTTTGGGAAACGCTGCCCCAGGGCTTTCCCCAGTGCTGCCTCTGAGCGCCTGCTGCAGGCTGAGCACCCAGGTAGCACTCAAAAGGCTTAATTGCGTTCCGTCCTCACGCTAACTTGCCCGTGGTGCTGTGAGCGGTGCGAGTGGTGCCGTGAGCGGTGCCTCTCACTGCTTTACAGGTGTGAGCACTGAGGCAAGTCCTGTCCAGAGGCAGAGTGATGCTGATGAGCTGCGGGGAGGATCTGGGCCTCCTCCTGCCTCCTGCCTTGAGCTCTGCCTGCAGAGGGTGGATGAATAGTGTAATCACCGGGGAGCAGCGGCAGGGCAGCTAAGAAGGAAGTATCCTGACCCGCCATGAGTCCAGAGGCCCAACCACAACCAGACGGAAAGAGGGGCAATGCAAACGCTGCCCACGCTGGAAAACAATGGCAGTTCCTTACAAAGTTAAACATACTCTCCCCAGAGGACCCAGCAATCCCTCTTGCTGAGGTTTACAGTAGAGAAATGGAAACGTCTCTTCACCCAGAGACCTGCTGGTGAGTGTCTGTACTGGCTTTACTCATAATCACCCCAAACGGGAAACAGTCCAAACAGCAGCAGGTGAGTGGATCCACAGACCGTGGCACCTCCAGGCAGTGGGACCCTCCCGGGTGATGAAAGGAAGGACCCATTGACACCGGTTGACGACCCCGGTGAATCCTGCACGCATGGAGCTAGGTGAAAGCAGCCACACCTGAAAGGCTCCGCACCGTCTGCTGCTTCCCTCTCTGTGACGTGACAGTCTGGAAGAGGTGGGGGCAGGGAACACTGCAGCGCTTGCCAGGGGTTGGGGTGACCACAAAGGGGCATGAAGGAATTTGGGAGAGTGATGGAAATGTTGTGTATCCAGACTGGTGGTGGTTCTGTGAGACTTGTCACAACTGGAAAACACTCAAAAGTGTTTTGTTCACTCAAAAGTGAATTTTACTGTCTGTAAAGCATAACTCAATAAACTTGACTAAGAAAGGAAAGAAACAAGGACAGAAGAGAGGGAGGCTGGGAGTGAGCCCAGGGCAGGGGACCTTGAGTTGATAGGGAGCCTGTGAGGTTGGTGAGGATCCTGCTTCTGCTACAGCCACGCCAGCACCCCACCCCCAGGAATCTCCCCTGCTTTCAGCCTGGAAGCTCTGTCTCTACTGGTGAGGGGATGTGGTCTCTGGACATCCCTGGGTGCTGAGACTCCAGCCCCCACTAGAGCCCTGCGTCAGGGAATGTCCGGACCCTCCCCAGAGCCCGTTACCGGGATACTGGGGGGAAGGCATTTCCTGCCTAGACCTCTTGGCAGCTCCCACTCCCATGGAGACCAGCTTGGAAGCTGGGAGGACCTGAGTCTTCTCTGTACTCTGATCTAGCTAGCGGGAGGAAGAGGAGGCCAAGGCTCCTGGACTAGCTGCAAGGACCCCCTGGGCTGGTGGAGCCCAGCCCCAAGGGCGGCTGAGCGGGGAGCTGCACTTGGACCCACCCACCCACCCATCACTCCCCCATCCCCGACACACACATCTCCGGCAGGGCGCCACATGGGGTAGATCTCAGCCCCAGCTCCTTCCTTAGTCAGGAAGTTGGGGGTTGGGGGATCAAAGCCCCCACATCTGTCTCCTCCCCCCTGCAGCCATGTTTATCACGGTGATGTCTGGAGGTAAGTGGGGTCCCCTGTCCCGGAAGACTGGTGGGGGTACATTCCCTCTGCCTTGAGGGAGAGTGGGGAGGCGGCGTGGGGAAGGGGTACACATGGGAAGGGATGGGAGCGTCCGCGGAGAGTCCCTTGAGGGGAAACCCTGGCTGGGTCCTGGGAAATGCACGTGGGCTCCTCTAGGAGCGCACGGGCCACGCAGCCACCAAGACGCTGCCGTGGAGCAAATGTTCAAACTGCTCCATCCCTTAGCTGGTCAGTGGTCCTCCAGCTTCAGGGGGCATGAGGCACCTAAAGCTCTAGCCCCAGCTGCAGATTCCTGACCTTCTGGTGGAGACGGGGCTGGTGCGGGGTAGGGGGTGAGGGGCTGTCAGGTGCCGGAGGTGGGGCTGAAGTGGGAGGGGAGGGTCGCGTGAGAAAGACAGAAGTTGTGCACCCCGGTCACCGACATCTTGGGAGATGGAAGGGGGGTACGCTCCTAATCTCATAGCCCCATTCCCTGCTCTGTGGGGAAGAGACGGGAGGGAGGCAGAGGGTCCCAGTTTGGGGAGAGTAGAGGGTGCCATTCGTTCACCTCTGCTTCTCCCCCACAGCTGGCTGCTGGGAGCTGGTGAACCCCTGGTGCAGCCTGGTGATCCTCATCACCCACCTGAGGCAGAGGGGGCAGGTGCCCCCAGATGGTGAGGGGGCAGGGAGGGGTGCTGGGAGAACCTCTGAGGGCCCCCAGGTAGGGATTCCAGCCCTGCCCTGCCTCCCTCTCTGCTCCCCCAGTGACCATAGCCCTCCTGGCTGAGGATGGGCACCTGGTGAACCTGGCTGAGGGACTGGAAGAGGGGCCTTCCCTGGCACCCTCCATGGGCAGCCCCCTGCTGCAGGAGCGTGGGATCTATGTCCTAGTGCAGATCATCAGTAAGTGGGGCCCCAGATTCCCCCTGTGCAGCTATGTTGGAATATAAGATGGGGAAGAGCAGCCACAGGCCACCCAAGCCCTGCCGAGCCCCTGCTTTGGCCAGGACCTAGCCCTGAACTTCCCATCCAATGCCCTGTCCTGACCCCACTGTGGGCCAGCAAACAGGTCCAGAGTGAGAGGTGGGGGTGTGGACCACCAGGCCAGCCAGGAATCAGCCTTCTTCCCTCCGCAGAGGGTGAGGGCGGGGCCCCCACCTGCTATGAGTCCCTCCTGGAGAACCTGGATGAGTGGTGTCCAGAGCTGGCAGGTGAGTGTCACAGGAGAGCCCCAGGGGGAGGATGTGCCTTCCCACCAGTCCCCCACAGGCAAGGCTTCTTGGGCCTTCCAGAGGAGCTGCGCTGGCTGTCGGGCCTTCCCCCCCTGGGCGATGGCTGGAGAAGGCGTGCCGGCACTCTGCGTGGCCACCAGCAGCAAGGCCCTCCTTCACGGCCCCGAAGGGTGGGCTTCCTGCTGTCTGGGACCCACTAGCTGGGGCCGAGAGCCAGGTAAGGAGGAGACATAGATCCCTGGGGGGATGCTCATACCCAGATATGGGACCCCTTCCCAGGGGACAGATGTGTGTGATGGGAGGTGGACCCCAATGCCAACCCCCTCAGAACACACATATACCCACACGATGGAAGACACTATATCCAGAGACAGGTCCCCACCATCCCGCTGGAGGCTAAGTGCCTGCACAAGGGCAGGGAGATGTGGAATAGGACCTGGCACACCGTAGGTGCTCAGGGCAGAGCTGCTGAATGAACTCAGTGAAGGCAGCAGCACAGAGTGTGTGATGGCGTTTGAAGGGCCAGCACCTCTGTTCCGGCAGGCCCCGTGACCTGGCACATCACGGCCAAGTGGCCGAGCTGGACTCAGATCCAAGGGGGTTGGCCGTGACCTCTGCCTGGTGTGATCAGGTGCAAAGGCCCAGCAGTATTCCTCTTGCAGAATCTGGAATTCTGGGAAATTGCAAGGTCACTGACAGAACGTGAGGCCGCCGCGGGGCCCCTAAGATGTGGGTGCGGAGAAAGGGATCCAGAGGCAGAGATGAGAAGGGTGGAGGGGCAGGGGTCCCTGAGAGGAGACAGCACGCTCCTCCAGGGATTATAGCCCCCAGGAGTCAGACGCCCTTGAGGCTTATGGTCACCTGCTAATGCCTCACCACCCAGTCTGGACTGCCCGAGGCTGTCAGATTACACAGGATTACAAGGTCACCCTCCCCACCCAGGACACCAGCTGAAGGTGAAGCATCCCACTCCACAGTGGGACATCCATTCATCCTCCCCCACCCGCAGAAAGTCCAATGAGGGTGGACACAGCAGGCTAGGATCTAACATAAACTCTTTTAATTGCACATTTTCGTCTTGGATCATCTGTGGGGTGAGAAACCCTCTCCTCACTCCCAGTCTCAGCTACGTGGGTACAATCTGATGTCATGGTCTTGCTGTCGGTGAAGGTGTGAAGGTGGCTGCAGGGCTGGCCCCTGAATCTGCATCGGTCTCTTCAGGGCAGGGAGATCAGACCTGCAGAGGGAGGGCCGGCACAGGTGGAGGTCAGGCCGAAGGTACAGGAGGAGAGACCACCGCTCCTGCCCCAGCAGGGGTCAGGGCCTCCCAGCTCACCGTGGTTGTACTTGCACTGCTTCAGGGCCTCGCTGAAGCCCTCGCACAGGGTCAGGTCGCTCTGAGTGGTGGAGCAGTCCAGGAACTGCCTGATCTCATAGGCGCAGGGCCCCATCTGCTGGGGCTGCGGGGCAGCGCGGGCCGGGGCCTGAGGTTACAGCACAGGAAGCAGCAAGGTCAGCTTGGGGTTGGCACCCAGAAGAGGATTCCAGAGCTGGGGGTGCCAGCTGCCCCTCCTAACGCCCCCAGCCCTGCCAGGCCCAGCCTGCCCTGTTTAGCTTCAGCTGCTCCATCCCTGAAACAGGGTGAGCCCACAGCCCTCTCAAAGCCACCCTGTTGGTGCTGGTACAGACAGCATTCCCAGCTGCCTCATAACAGGTATGCTGGCAGGTGGGGGTGGGAGGTGAGAGAAGGTTCTAGAAAAGTCCAGTGCTCTGCTAGAGTATGAGCCCCACCCCCACAAGTTCTAGCACCTTCCTGCTCAGCAACACTGATCCTCATTACCCCCGACCCCACCACTAAGCCAGAATTTGGTTCAGGACTGGTGGGGTGCCCAGTGGGGGACAGGCCAGCAGGGAACAGACCCAGAGTCACTGGCTACCCTTCACCCTTGGGTGCAGGGGCTACCTGGGAGAGAGAGCACGGACTCAGGAACTTCAACATCCCTCCCTTCTACTAGGTTTAGGTGACCTTGGGCCAGTCTCTGAGACCCTAAGGGCCTCAGTTTCCCCATCTTTAAAGGGCTGGTTGGTGTCTGTCCACGGGGTCTAGGGACCTTGGCCTCAGGGGAGGGGCAGGGAGAGCCGTCCTGTGACCAGAGACCAACAGCAGAGTGACTAATAGGACCCTTCTTGGGCACAGTCCCTGGCCGAGGCAGCTCTGGACACCCTGGACACTCCTCGCTGGACGTTCCAGCAGCTCCCCGCTCAGTGGCCTTGAGAGAAGGCAGCCTCAGTTTCCCCTGAACCCTTGCTCACCTGCTGGGCAGCAGCCTGGGCGGGCTCTGAGCTCCCCCCGCTCAAGGCTCCGGTCAGGGCGCTGCCCACGACATGTCCCACAGCCGAGCCCACGGCCACTCCGGCGGCCGTGGTCGCCATCTGCGCCATCAGGCCGGGCTGGCCCGACGGGGCGGGGGCCGGGGCCAAGGCCGAGGGCGGCGGGTGCGCGGGCGGGTGGGCAGGGGGCGCGGCGCTGCGGCTGCGGGATGGGAAGAAGCAGGGTTAATCCCAGCCGGACTCCAGGCCGGCGGCCCCAGGGGCCCGCAGCTCCGGAGAGGCACCCTCTCCTCCTCCCGGAGGGTGGACGACCACCGTCTTAGACGCCTGATTGCGGTACCCCCGCCCCTCCCCCGCCAAGATGGCGCAGCAGCCGCCAAGGTCACGCTGTCACGTCCTTGGGGGCCGCGCTTCCCCAGACCCCACCCTGCGGGCCCTCGTCCCGCTCCCACCTGGCTGGCCGGGCGCCCATGCTGCGGCTCCCCCGGGGCATGGTGGCGGCGGTGGGACCAGCTGAACCGAGTCGGAGACAGCAACGGTGACTGCTGTTCCGGTTCGGGGACGAAGGCGGCGGCGCCTGTCACGGCCGGCGCTGCTGGGCGGGGCCGGGGCGGGGCCGCGGGGACACGCCCCCGGCCGGAGGCTCGGGACCCGGGGCCAGGCTGCACCCTCGCGGGTCACCCGGCCTCTCCATCACGCAGCACCCGTTGCCGGTGACCCTGCTCCCTCCCAGCTCCTGGCCCGAGCTATGTGCGCCCTGGGGACACGGGCCGCTGTCGCAGGGCGCCGAGGGCGTACGCAGGAGCGAAGCCTGGCCCTTCAAAGACCACCGCGGAGCTCTGGGAGTGGAGCTAGGGGCTGTCCCGCGCTCGGGAAGTGGGGCAGCGGGAGGCCGGTCCCTGCTCCTCCCCCTCCTATCGGACCGGGCTCGCTGGCTCCGGCGTGGCCTCAGGGTCGCGGGTGGACTGGGCAGGGGAAGAAGCACCCACCCTCCGTGACGGTTCCCAGAGCTCCCGCCAGGGGGCGTCCGGACCGCTCTCGGACTCCTTCCCGGCAAAATCACTGCGGGGCGCGGACAGCCCCCGCTGGGGTGCGACCAGGACCCCTGCGTGGCCCTCCACCCAACCCGACCCCCTTCCCCACGGATGCAGCGCCAGACCCCTACAGCGTTTATGCAGCGTGTCCCTCCCAAAGGCCGTAACCTAGAGGTGTTTGTGCGGGTTTGAATCCTGTGGCCTCGAATTTTACCACCTTGGTTCCAGGCCCAGGGCAGGGCAATGCCGAATTTAGGACGCTTCCCAGCCCTTCGGGAACTGGAGGTTTTCATAGTCTTTTATTGCTACCCTTAGCGGGGAGAGGTCCTGACCTCTTTACCACCCCCTCATCACTGTCCCCTATGCCCGAGGGAGTCCTCCCAGCACCTGGACTGTGGGGAGGATGAAATCGCCCACAGCAAAATCATGGGGGAGGGGTCCCAGGTGGGGAGAGGAGGCCCCTCTGTGAGGAAGGGGCAGAAGGGACGGAGGGGACATGGGCAGTGCCTGGCAGGCTCAGCATGTCTCTACTGTGTCCCAACCACACAGTCCTGTCAGCCAGCCTGGGGAGCAGGGCCCTCCCCTGACCCTCATCTGGGCCTGGGCCAAAATTTTCTCCTCTCTGCAGTGGGGGTGACCATTGGCCTCGAGGTGAGGGAAGCATGTGAAGGGTGGCTACTCTCTCCTCATAGACATGCCAGGCCTGGTCCAGCCTCCACCCCTTTGCTCATGCAGCCACTGACCACTTGTTCCCATTGCCAAACTGGCCCTTCTAGGCTGATCAGGGTCCTCCTCCTGCAGGAAGCCCTCTGTGACCAGCCCAGCTTGCTGTAACCATGGCTCTCCACTGCGGCCTACAACGTGGGAGGTTGTTACTTGAGCTCCCATGACAGGTGTACTGTGGTTCCGCAAAGCAAGGCCATGCTCCCCTGGAGGCACTCAGGACCACTTAAGGTAGTTACACAAATATATATATATATATTTTTTTACACAAATATTTTTACTGTCTATATTTTCATGTGTATCGGAAAAAAACATACAATTAGCTCATCAAATCTATGATTTTTTTTCAAGTCATAACCAGTTTTATTGCAAAAGGACCCTGTACACATTTATCAATTCTAGTACCTTAATAGCTACCCAACAAGTCATTAACATACAGAAACATGCATCATGAGAAGCAAGAAATATCACCCATCCCTTCTACATATTAGCAACTTGTCACTCCTGAGCAACAGAGCTCACATCACTGAGGTCTGTGAACAGTCACTTTTTGCATTCATCCTGAGTGAAAGACGGAATGAGTTAAGTACAAATGCAACATATTATAAACAATTTCTTACAAAAAAAGTCACAAATTAAACCAAAGTATTTTACAGAATTTACTACAAAACACCGTAAAAACTGCCTTCACTTAAGCTCTCTCTCCCCGTATCCGGCGAGCCAACTGGATGTCTTTGGGCATGATGGTGACTCTCTTAGCGTGGATGGCACACAAATTAGCATCTTCAAATAAACCCACCAGGTACGCTTCACTAGCCTCCTGAAGCGCACCAATGGCGGCACTCAGGAACCTCAAGTTGGTTTTGAAATCCTGGGCGATCTCCCTCACCAACCTCTGGAAAGGCAGCTTCCGGATCAGAAGCTCGGTGGATTTCTGGTAACAACGGATTTCTCGAAGCGCAAGAGTCCCGGGCCTGTAGCGATGAGGTTTTTTCACCCAGCCGGTAGAGGGGGCGCTTTTCCTGGCCGTTTTAGTGGCCAGCTGTTTGCGGGGCGCTTTGCCACCCGTGGACTTACGAGCAGTCTGCTTGGTTCGGGCCAATTTCTTTCAC